GAGAGAGAGAGAGATGCATCAGATCCGAACTGATGTTCGATACATTCCCAGGGAGCTTAACAGGGAAGCGCATGCCAATGCAGCCAATGCATACTTTGTAGTTTGTAATAGCAAATCTCATGCAGCTGATCACTGTCCTATGCTTCATAAGCTAGGAAATCTCGATTTGGAACACTGTAAAATCTCATATGTAACTTGTGCTTGAATCAATTAAAAACAAAATTCATGCAAAAGTATGAATGGCCCTGTACTCTATGAAAAGATAAGTGGTAGTGTTAAAGAATTTGAAAATCGACTCTCTAAATTAGTAAATCTAATGCATTACGTATTTAATTGTCTGAATTTCCTGTGCAGGCTCTCACCATGCACTACCTAAATTATGGCAGCACTATCAAGGTCATTCTAGCAGTTGACGACGAACAATTTCCAGATTGTCATCAACTTTTAAATGACTTTGCCGAGTCCATCAAGCTTGTTAGGGATGCGGCTAGCCTCAAGACATTAACAACATCGATCCAGAATGACTGAATAACAAATAATTGGATAGATATACCATGTCAAGGTCACATACATATGTGATTAATAAAAGCAAATGCATCTCTATTCACATGTAATATTATTTTTTTGAGACGTATTCACATGTAATATGTGTGCACTATTGATTCTATGAGCATTTGTTCTTGTACTTTAATGTGTTGTTTATGTCGATCACTATAAGATTTGCATTCAATTCGTTATAACATTTGGCTTGCCATGCATAGATGTTAAAAAACTGGACCACCACATGCACACACTAAGGCTCGCAAGAGGGGCGGCCCCTCCTTCTGGTAGTTGGCGCGGAAGCCGTGGAAGAAGTTCGGGCCGGTGACAGGTCGTCGCCAGCGCTTGCACACTGCAAAAGTGCAGAAGATGGAGGACGGCTGCGGCAGGAGACAACGGAGGATCTCTTAGAGCATATCTTCGTTGTCCATCGGAGAGGCAGGAACCTCCAGTGAGGTGGCGTGGTAGCAGCAATGACGGATCATCGCAGCTCGCTCCTCGCTCGAATGGGTTTGAGGATGGATGCGTCGTGGGTAGTCTATCTTCCTCGACTGTGGCATGGATTACTGAATGGAGCCGCGTCATTGCGGCTCCATCTTCAATGCAGGGCCGACAAGACCTAGCTATTATCTAGAGGAAGAAGGAACACAGGACACGACCGGAGGGAGGGGTCTATTTCTTTTTTTTTTAGGGTTGTTCCTTCTTTGTTCTAGGTGCTCCTATTTAGCACGTGACACTTGCGAACGAGCCAGCACGCACCCATCGCCTCCCGCATGGCCTATTGGGCCGACCCAGGAGGGGGCAGGATGCCCCTGCTTTTTTATTTCTTTTTTGCTTTCTTGTTTAATAAGGGTTAAAAAATATCCAAATTTCAAAAACAAAGTGAATTTTGGAAAATGTTTCAGAAATCATAAAATGTTCGTGGGTTCAAAAACTGTTCGCACTTAGAAAAAAAGTTAGTGAATTTGAAACAAAAAATCGCAAATTCAATAGATGTTCAAGATTTTTTGGAAAAAAGTTCAAAAATTTCAAAAATGATCGTGAAGTACAAAACTTTATTGATTAAAAAAATGTCCGTCAAACAAAGAAAGTTCATCGATTAAAAAAATGTTTGTCGATACAAAAAATGTTCGTCAATTCAAAAAAATGCGTATGGAATCGAAAAAATGTTCGCGAATTAAAATAATGTCCGCTGATTCAAAAAAATCTTCATTAGTTCAAATAATCTTCACTGATTCTATGTTGATGAATTCAACAATGTTCACCGATTAAAAAAATGTTTGCCAATTCAAAAGAATGTTCAAGATTTCAAAAACTAATGTTCACAGAACTTAATAAAATGTTCATGACTTTTGAAAATGTTCACGGTTTCCTAAAAATATTCTTAAATTGAAAAAATGTTAGCGATCGCATTTTATTTTTGCTATTATGAAAAGGATGTTCACAAAAATGAAAAGGAAAAATATAAGAAGAAAGAAAAAACAAAATAAAATGTAAAAAACGAACTTGAAAATAAAAAGGAAAAACGAGAATTTGCAAGAAATGGAAAAATAAGAATAAAAAGGGAAAAACAAGAAATATTGGGAAAAGGCCAATATTGTGGACAGGCGCGCTGGGGGTGAAATTCGCTGGATCACTAGACAGCGAGCAACCTAGGCGCTGAATAGGAACGTCCCTTTCTTCTGTGCTGCTTGAGGAGGGTTGGTTTGCTCGTGGCATTAATTGGGCCCTGACCGCCTGAGGAAGTAAAGTGGTAGTGGGCCCCCGTACATTGTTGCTTGGTCCTGTGTCTGCTGCTACGAAGTTTCAGTTTCGTCAGACTATGGCCTTCTTGCTGCCATTTAGTGGAAGAATGTTGTTTGGCGAGGCGGTGCTGAATTTTGAACAGCAAAACTGAAGGTTATCTGGAGTGCAGATGGACAAGGAGAACCACTGAAGAACCCCTTATCTCTAGTCCTCTCTGCTATAGTTGAAACGAACCCAGTTGAATCTGCAAGGAAGTCAACAACAACAACAAAATCAGTATTACTTCCCTGCTTTTGCGGAGCTAGGAGCATTCTGAAACATGCTTTTGTTTGAGCTACAAGCCTACAAAACACTAGCTAGTAACAGATTTGTGCTACACAAATAAATCTGAACAAAGGAGTAAACCTGAGTTCCTCACTACGTCTGCCAGGACCATAAAGCCCTCTACAAACCACATGAAAACAGGCGGATGTAGCTCATCGATCCAGGCTTGAATTCCAGCAAACCAGCAACACATTCAAACATTTAGAAGTGTATTCTCCAATCATGCCAATATATATACACCACTTCACGAGCGTATGTTGGGAACCAGATCTCAGAGTATGACAGAGAGCAAAGCATATGCTTCTAGTATAAAAAATGCATATATTTTAGGTCCGTTTATTGTGGGTTAGATCAGGCAGTAGTACTGATCAACATCCCATATCTCATTCTTTAGTTGACCACCTCCTAGTATATACTACACTGATAATAGATAGCAGATTTCTTCAGGTCGTCAGAACAGAATCAGATTCAACAAAGCCTACCAAAGTTGAAGCCTCCGGGTCGCTCACCACAAATACGTAGCAAGATTACAGAAAATTACAGCCAAACAATGCAACCTCCTGGCACATGTCTTCTTGCAATTACAAGTACGAGTGTAGACATGCCGCCGTCCAGACCCGCATCTTCAGCAGAAAACAGCTGCTGCGAGAATGACGACTCCTCTGGCTCATATGAACCACAACAAAGTACTCCCACTGAACCTTATTCCCAGGGTAAGAAAGCCACGCCTGTTCCATTCAAACTTCTACATCACTAATTCCAGTCATGTTAACAACGATATCACTTCTTTACCGACATCGACACCGTGCTGATGAGGGTTCGTTCTAGTCGAAGGGGTGCGCATTTGATTGGATCTAACTCTCTGCCATGCAACGATCTATAATTTGTAAAAAGAAATGTAAAAATCTAGAACAACTTCCTGGCATTCCCAAGAGCTGCCAAGCACATGCTACATATATAACCAGAGCTGACGAGTGATGCCTTTCTTTTCAAACCAAAGCTGAGCAGACACAAACATACAAATACTTGTGGCAGATACTCTCCTGGCTGAAGAGAAGAGCTGCCAAGCACACGCATTGGAAAAGGCAAGACAGGATGAGATCCGACTTGAAATAATACTAGAATAATTAAGCTAAAATTCATGGATTACCTAATCAAAACATCTTGCTACATTACATACATGGCTAGGCTAAGGCACGACAAATTTTTGCAGATAATAACATATAAACACCACTGACCACGAGGGTTTGCGACGCGATAAACTCGGTGACAACTAACAACTGCAGCAGCCCTTTCTTTACTTGGGGAAAACAAAAGCGTCAAGTTGTTAGTAACCTGATGCAGATACCGAGAAAACCTAGTAGTAGCACCTAGGAGTATGTAACAGCGTATGAACACGTGCGTACAAACTCATGATCAACTCACCAACATAAAGTACAGCTATATCATATCTCCTCAAAAAAGGAAGTCATTTCATATTGCTGGCTACATATGACAACAAAATAAATTCTTCAGCCTTTCCACACATATTTCTTAGGTGATGGAGTTAAATGAGGTGACTGATGTTTGTAATAGCAAAATGGGCTAGTAATATATTGCTTTCAACTTATGGATCAAGAAACAGCAAAACCAAGGGAGAACTCTGGGCATACAACATGTGAATCATCTGCATATCGTTTATGATCTAACATGAGTCCTTTTTTTTACTTAGCCTCACCACCATTTTAATTGTTATTAGCATATGCGGATCCCTATAGCCAAATGGACAATATTTTCAGGGTGCATGCTACCTACATTGACCGCCATACATATTATCCAAAGACAAGATCAAACAGTACAAATCTCACAAACTATATTTAGAAGATCTTACCAGTTGAAATGTTTCAGCATATTAGCACATCAAACCAGGCAGTCACCCTAACATTTCAGCTCCATTAGTTCCACTGGTAATGGTTGTGACTAGAAGCAAAAGAACTCCGGCAATTAAAAACAGTTTCACAATAAAGACAAATGGATAAGAGAAGGCAACATGAGAGAGTTACAAAGATGAGCTGACAAATATTACTTGAGCAAAATAATTCACTTATATAACTTATTTCTACAGATGCCATATTAGTCACTCTTGATAGTAGCAATAGATAAAACAAAACAACATATGTTAAAAAATGCAAGGAATATTCATACAAACAGTATACTTAGCTACCTCATAATGGAGAATCTAGCTTGTAAGAAAAGAAAACATGGCCTATAAATTTTCTCATGTGAACTCCTTACTCGTAATGTCAACCAGAGAAAATTATGCCAAAACAACAACTCTAGGAACAAAAGTGTTATTGGGTATTCTGCTTTAACTAAAAGGATCCCAAGAGAAGAAATGCAATTTATTTCTATGTGCTATATGAATGAACAAATGAGAAAATCTAAATTATTTCAAAAAGTATGAATTCAACAGAATTTTTTTATGGAGTGAAATGAAAAGAAGATCTTAACAAATAATAGTAATAATAATAGGTAAAGAATATAACTAGCCTGGGCACTCAAACTTGTCAGCTAAGTTAATCATTCGACCTTTGATTTTGCTATCTTGCAATAGAAAAGACAAGCACATTGAAACGTAACACATAATGAAGTAACACGACGATAAACTCGTCCATCTAGCAAAGGTGCAATTACTAAATAAATTCTATCATAGGAAATGGCTTACTAAGTGCAAGTTGTATGTGGACGTTTCAGAATTACAATAACTGTATGTGAGAAAACATGTACAGAACATAATTAGATTGGGTTACTCCTAAGATATAAAGACCAAAGATGAGCAATTAATTACCTAGTGGTTGTGAACTCTGTGAAAGTATAGCAGTAATATTTAGAACTGTTCCATGAAGTTTCCTGGCTTGCATTGACTTGGGCTGAACCAT